GTTGTATATCGAGAGAATGAAAATAGCCCTCACTCAATCGATAATTGGAAATAATTTATAAAATATCTTGAAACTATTATATTTGAAAATGGCAAATCTATAATAAAAAATTATTCACGAGATTCAAAATATATATATACGCATTTACTATTATTTTCATTCGAAACGTTTCTGAATATCATAAAAAAGAAGCAAAATAATATTCCATTACTTTATATTCACCTTGTACGTACGTTTCCTTCGAAACGTCTTATCAACACATTATCGCATATCGTGAAACTTTTCTCGTCCAATCATACTTTACACGAAAATCGAGTTACGTACTGTTCACTGCTAAAATGAAATCTGGCGTAGCAGGGGCAAGAGGGGTCCTTCGCTACAACCGTTTATCCCCACTTCACACGTTTTGTTGACATACGCTGCACAGCTAGCAGTAGAAGAGTTATAGTTTCAATATTCATAATCGTTATTCAAAAATTATTTTCGTTTATGAACTTACGTTAGAATAATCATCCAAGACTGGAAATTGAAATATTTTCGAAACTATTAATTATTTTGATACAATATATAATATATTTAACATATTTAATTTATTCGTATACGTACAATTATTATCTTATCTGCTCGAATACGAAATTAGTTTTGTAAATTAAACTATCGTTACAAATCGTAATTAGTCTAACGCCTACTATCAGAAATAAATAAATTTTTATATTATATCGATATACGTTAGAATACTTTGAATTCTATATACAAATCATCGTTTGGATTAATGTATATAACGAATATCATGCTAGAAACAAAAATAGGCGTGAAAATAGACAGTTTCTTCCACATTCTTTCCATCAATGAATTAGTTCACACACGCGTTCGAAAGAAAACTTCCATCGAAACTTCCAACGATTCAGAGAAATCTTACTCTTCTCTATCTTTCCTCGCAGCCATAAATTCGAAGAAGAAAAATAAATAAATAAATAAATAAAGCATTCTAGCACGATCGAATCTTTCTTTAAAAACTTGTTTCACTCGCGATAGACAATGATGGCCAACATAGAAAATTCCTTTGAAGCAATCGTACAGGGGAATCTCATTGATTCTGTTGCTCGATGGAGAGCTGGGTACGAGCTCGATTTGGAAAGGGCCTCTGCGGATGCTCGGCTCCGCGTACTTGACGCCACTCTCGATTCACCGGGTGAGGGGAGGGGGGGATATTACGGATTCCAATTTGGGGTGGTTAAGGAGCCGGGCATGAAAATCTGTCGAATTATTCGCGATCGCGGCGTTCTGTGATGCGGGATCAAACGTTTCTCTCGCGACATCCGATTCAATTTCACGTATGAAATCTCCCCCGCTGTCACACAGTGGCCGGGAGTGGATATCGATTAGCTCGACGATTCGGTTTTCCGGATGGGCTACTACGCAACTTGACGCTACTCCTGTACACCGATTAACGTGTACATGCTCGAGTTTTTCTTTTCTTTTCTTTTCTTGTCTTTCTTTTTTTCCCCCGTTTCTTTTTTTTTTTTTTTTTTTTTTTTTTTTTTTTTTTT